AGGATACTTCACTACACCAAAGATATCTCCTATCAACCTTCTTAGCCAAATGCATTCTTGTGCTGCCATTGATGCTGCCATATACTCAACCTCAGAACTTGATAAAGCAACAGTTGGTTGCTTCTTGCTACACCAGGAAATTGCAGTAGAGCCAACACTAAAACAATACCCTGAAGTTGATCGACGATCCTCTGTATCGCCTGCCCAATCAGCATCAGTGAATCCTGTCAAAATAAAATCACCTCCTTTTTTATACATGAGACCATAATCGACAGTTCCATTGATGTAACGTAAAATCCTCTTAGCAGCATCCAAGTGAGAAGTCATTGGATATTGCATAAACTGAGAGATGATGCTAACAGAATGTGAAATTTCTGGCCTTGTGATAGTTAAGTAAATCAAACTACCAACAAGTTGTCTAAATCTTTTGGCATCCTTTAATGGCTCCCCTCCATCTTTCACCAACTTGAGATGTGGTTCCATTGGTGTTGCCTTTACCTTTGACTCCTCCATGCCAAAACGCTGCACAAGTTCTCTTGCATATCCTCTTTGAGATACAAAATATCCTTCATCGGACTTTTCAATTTCCAGACCAAGAAAGCAACCAGCCTCCCCCAAATTTTTCATCTCAAAACGAGTTGATAGCTCATTTTTAAGCTTAGAAATTTCAGCTTCATCATCACCAGTAATAATCATGTCATCCACGTATAACAAGACCAACAAAGTCATATTTGATTCTACTTTAATGAACAAGCTAGAATCAGCATCAGAGACTTGAAACCCACAGAAGACAAAGTACTGAGCAACTTTACCATACCAAGCGCGTGGTGCTTGTTTGAGTCCATACAACGCCTTCTTCAAACGACAAACATGTTGAGGATATTGTTCAGAAACATATCCTTTTGGCTGCTCCATGAATACTTCACGATCCAATTCTCCATAGAGAAATGCATTCTTTACATCAAGCTGCCATAATTTCCAACATTTAAAAGATGCAAGTGAAAAAATGGTTCTTAAAGTTACCATCTTTGCAACTGGGCTGAAAGTTTCCTCGTAATCTAGTCCATAACTTTGTGAAAATCCACGGGCAACCAGCCGTGCTTTGCATCTATCGATGCTCCCATCAGATTTCATCTTCAACTTGTATACCCATTTGCAAGAGATAGGCCTGCAGTTTTCTGGTTTTGGGACCAACTCCCATGTCTGATTTTTGCATAGTGCATCAATCTCTTCTTGCATTGCTGCTTCCCATTCCAACCGGCCTTTTGCTTCCTCAAAACATGTTGGTTCTTTATTTGCTGCACCTGTAAAGAAGCATGTCGTGACGGTACAAGGATTGATTTGAACCTCATAGTCTTGAAGATAACCAGGTTGTTTTCTCTCCCTTGTTGACCTTCTGTGAATTTGCTCATCACCATCATTTGAAGTGCTTGAAGATGAAGATTCACCATTGTTTGATGTCTCCATGTTGGGTACAGTACTTTCCTCCAGATTTTCTTGATCACCACCAATAAGGTGATCAATAATGACTTGTTGAGTGACGGATTTTTGTTCAGAATGATATGAAGAAACTTCATCGAACACAACATCTCTAGAAGTTATAAACTTCTTTGTTTCTGGGTCCATACATCTCCACCCCTTTCTGCATGAGTCATAGCCAACAAAAACACATTTCTTTGCTTTCAGGTCAAGTTTGGTTCGGTTAGACTTTGGGACATGTACATAACAAATTGAACCAAAAATCCGAAAATAATTTACATTTGGCTTATCACCATACAAAGTCTCAAAGGGAGATTTTTCCTTACCAGGCCATGGAGGTAAGCGATTTATCACATAGCATGCACATTGGAAAGCTTCAGCCCAAAGTTCACGAGGAAGACTTTTATCATGCAACCAAGAGAGACTAACAGAGGCAAGATGGGCTAATTTTCTTTCTGAAACACCATTTTGCTGAGGTGTATTTGGGCATGTCATTTGTCGCGATATGCCCGTTTTGCTGCAATATTGAGAGAAATCCTCTCACAAAAATTCTCCTCCATTATCACTTCGTAAGCATTTGATCTTTATCCCAAATTCTCTTTCAACACTCGTTGCAAATTCAATGAACTTTGAGAGTGCTTCACTTTTTTTCTTCAAGAATTTCACCCAAGCATACCTGGAAAAATCATCAACCAACACCATGACATATCGGCATCCACTATAGCTTGCTGTTTTCATAGGTCCCATCAAGTCTGTATGAATCAATTCAAACATAGATGCTCTGCGATCTGATGACTTCACAAAAGGAAGACGATGGGATTTGCCATATTGACATCCTTGACAAATAACATCCTCACGAACATTTTGTAAATCTGGTATGCCATCTATTAGCTTCCTAGAGGAGATTTGTTGCAGCAGCTGGAACCCTAAGTGACCCAATCTAGCATGCCATATTATTGCATTATCAGTTTGACTTGTCTTCTTCACATAAGCTTCTTCTGCAGACATGACAAATAGAGAACCTTTCCTCTTGCCAGAGGTAACAACATCAGCATCAATGCCTTTCATGTTTACAAGAACTTTTACATCATCTGGCCCAAACAATACATATTTTCCAGAGTTTGTAATTTGAGAAACTGAAATTAAATTTCTCTTTAAACCTGGAACATGAAAGACATCATTCAGCTCCACACCAATATTCTCATTAGTGCCAACTCTAGCCACCCCTTCCTTTGCAACCGGATAAGCTGAATTATCTGCAGTAATGATAACACGTTCTCCTTTATGTTGATGTACCTCTGAGAGCAATGAGTCATCTCCAGTCACATGATGGGATCAACCAGAATCAATGATCCACTCATTGCATAAGTCATGATTAGAAAGAGCCTGCAATAATTCGGCATCAACAAGTTTCTTTCCGTCAATTACTTCTGTAGTAAAACACTGCTCCCATTTTAGCTCGTCCTCGTCTTCATACTCGCCTGCAACATTTGCTTTGGAAAGCTTTACTCTGCAGTTCTTTTTTATGTGCCCCATCTTACCACACCTGTAACACCTCACAGTGCTTTTGTTAGGAGAATTATCACCACCAATCAATTCTCCTTTAGAGAAAAGGACCGCTTCAGCATCAGAATTTTTTTCCATCTGTCTTGCTAGAGCTTCCTGGTTAGAGAGCAAATTCTCTAATTCTTCAACTGAGGGTTGGGTTGCCCACCCTTGAATAGAGGTAACGAAAGGGTTATATTCCTTTCTCAGTCCCCTAATGAGAAATCGTCGTAACCTTGCTTCACTGATCTTCTCCTCCATATCTAATTCTGAAATTTCAGCACAAATGCTTTTAACTCGCAAGAAATATTCAGAAATAGACATACCTTCTTGTGTCAAGGTCGCCAACTCATTTTCCAGTAGTTGAAGTCTTGCTATGTTCTTTTTGGAAAACAACCTCTCAAGTGTCTCCCACACATCCCTCGGTGAACTTACATCACGAACATGATCAATGAACTCTTTGCTGATTGATGTTCTCAAAGCAAACAGGGCTTTCCCACACTTGATCTTCCACTTCCTTCTTGGTTCAGCATTCTCTGGAGTATCTATAGGAGTGACATCAGTACCCGTAACTAAATCCCAGAGGTCTTGTCCTTGAAGATATGCCTCCATACACATTCTCCAATATTTGTAGTTTGTCCCTACAAGCTTCTCAACCCCTGTACTAGAACCATTCCCTCCATTTGATAACTCCATCTCACTTCACAACTTTTAGCAAGTATGTGAAAAACTCAACACTCAATAATCAAGAAGAAAGAAGGTACTTTAATGAATCGAGGCTCTGATACCATAAAACAAAGAGAGCAGGTATGCATAAAACAAGTTTTGGGATAAACTCTTTATTAAAACTGAGATATAAAATTAAGTTACATCAGAGCTTATTTAAAAGCTAAAACATAACAAACTAATCCAAAAAAACAGCTAAACAAACTTCTCCTAAATGGACTCAACTACTTATCTAATGCTAAAAAATAGGAACAGAAAACAACGACTATGTTACCAACTAAGATTAACAAATGAAAGTAAACCTAGAATTTCAACAATAAATAAACCCACATAAGATGCACTAATTTTTAACATAGAGTTGGTTATTTTCAGTTTTGCGCTACTTGTGTACACTTAAGAGTTGGTTATTTTCAGTTTTCCGCTAGTTCCGTACCCTTATACTTTTCTCTATGTAGTTATTCGATCAATTTAATGAGTTAAACTCGATGCTTCAGCCAAAAAGAAAAGGAACAAAGAAACTTACTCATGTATCATAACCAAATCTGAGTTATTATAATCAAGTTTAGCGAAACAAATAATATTTCGATCTGTGATCATTTCAAATTATACTCTGAACTATCTATTTCTTTTTTTTCAAGTGTATGAGCTGATAGATCATGTAGGAAACTGAACTACTCAAGTAAGCAACGCTAGGAAAGAAGAAAAGGAAACAGAAAAAAATGGAAAATATTACATATAGTTGTCAATTTGATTTCTTGATGTTTATGTTCCTTTATGCATTTTTTTTTTTTAAAATATATATTTAAGTATTGATTCAAGGTTCTTTCTCTTTGTTTTCTGGGGAGTACACCTGTTGTGTGTGATGTTTCTCTTTGCTGATAAAAAAAAAAGGCTATCG